CACATATATATGTATATTGTATACCATACAAAAATAAACAGAAGTCTATTAGCTCTTTGCAACAACCGTATAATTTATACGTCGGTAATTGTATTTCCGAAGTAGAATCTATATTTGATTTTGATCATTTTTCGCATAGCTATAAATATTCATTTTGGATATTCCATTTATTTATAAATAACTTGTAAACTTCAGGAGTTATAGATAATAAAATTAGCTAAGTGAGCTATCAATGAATCTATATATAAATGTTGAAAGAATAGAGTTATTAGTTAGCTAGTTATTGGCTAAAATTCTTTTGACTTAGGGTATCTACTAGTCGATCACACACGTCACTTATTTAGTTTTTCTTTTGATCACATTATTGATGTTGTTTGTTGATTTCCCATTATGAATGCTCACGATTCCCAATTGGTTTATAGTATGTATAATAATGTAGATGATCATGATCATGATGATGGCAACTACGTCGACATAGGCGAAAATAAAATATAATTATGTATGAAAAAATAAAATTAAATAAAATAAATAAAGCAAAGAGAACAGCCATTGTCCCATTAAAGGCGTTCAGATGAACCGGTTCAGGGTCAATCGACTGAGCTGCCGTCGCCATCGTCGTGTTCGTTGTTTGCGCTGTCTTCTGCATCGCCTGCCTTCCTGCCACGGACAACGACTTTCAAGTTCAGTTGGAACATTTGGCAAGGGCAGGAACTGGGCCAAGGTCGGACAACTGGCCAGAATGCTGCGGCAAACAGAATATCAGGTAAAAGGGGAATGCCATGCCATGCCATGCCAAGGCAAAAGCCGCATCATTCCCAGCATCATCAACAATAACAACAACATCCACAACACAAACAACAATAACAACATCTTCATCATATTGTTCTGGCAACTGGGCAAAACCTTGACGCCGCTATACGTAAATTTCCATTGGCCTTCGGCCAGAGACCTATGTGCATACATATGTACATCCGATCGACCCCAAATTGAAGTAAAAAGTTCTCAGCACAAAACTCTGAGGCGCGATAGAGACGCGTCGCTAGCATTAGCTAAACGCAGCGCGACGCAACGCGTCAGCCATCACGTAGGCCCCTCAGCCAGATGGGGGATTAGGCAGTGCCCCAAACAAATGATATGTCACGGGACAGCCACTATTTTGAAAAACTTACAAATAATAATAACTGCAGTTGAAACAATGGAAAGTTTCACTAACTGAAAATGGGCTAAAGGCAGGGCAAAGGCAAGAGCTGCTTCCTTTTTTTAGACAAAGTCTCAACTCGCAGAAAAAGTGCCCAAACATATATAAAATTCTATGAAGACTAACAAATTTGTAGGCAGGCCGCATATAACAGCTGAATAATATTTCCAGAAACAATTTGCTAAAAATGTATAAAAACTTTAAAACATTATATAACAAATTTGGTGCTGCTGAAGAATTTTCAACAATAGGCAAAAAATAGCTCAAGTCGTGAACAGGGCCAACTTGTTGTTTACTTTATTTCATTTATTTACTTAATTTATAATTGCGCTAAGTGAGTCAGATACAGATATCTTTATTTAAAATTCAAAAACTGAATCTTCAATAGCAAATTGATTTGCTAAATGTATAATTGCGCTAATCGAAATTTCATTGATTGTATCCGCAGGTGAGGCGACGCGGGTAACTCGCTGCATTGTCACGAGTTGATTGTAGCTGCCTTTGTTGCTGCTGTTGCAGTTGCTACTGTTGCTGTTGCTACTGGGTAGCAGCATGACGTCATGGAGCCAAAGTGTGATGAGCATTTTGTGTGGCGCGTGTGAAATAAAAACGCGGCAAAGGACAAGTTCGGGGGTTTTACCCATTCGCATTCGCATACGCATTCGCATACGTATGCCAAGAAAAATCAACAGTAAAAGATGCAGAGTCGAAAAATATATGTACATACATACATACATTTATTCGAAAAGCGAAATGTGAATGACTTAAAGCTTGGTGAAAATGAAAATTTGGAAATTTTGTTGTTTTGCTGTTGTCTTGTGTGTCGTGTGTTGCCGTGTCGAATTTTAGATTCAATTCAAGCAGAATGCTAATGGCAGGCCCAATAACAAGATTGGGCACTCGCTGTGAACATGTTCCGTTTAGCAGCTGACGTCACGTTCACCTGTGATTGACGTCCGTTGCTAAAAGAGACACAAACAGCCAACACACATAACATTTAACGCTGCTTGGGACCAACGGAGGGAAAGACAAACGAAGAAAAAAACGCAAACATACACACAGACCCACAATACGTTAGCCAGAAAGCTCGAGTTCATTAATACGGCATATGGTAGTAAAGACCTTGAACCATCATCCGTTGGCCCTGCGACGTCATTGGCAGCGGCAGCGCTGCTTCTCTGATTGACCTTTGAAGCGCAACAGGAGAAATGCCACGTGACGTCATTGAGAGCCTGCTGCTGTTCCTGTTACTGCTGCTACATAACCATTACATCAGGTTACGTCAATGCGCAAGCTCTTGCGCTCTCGGCAGCCACCGTTCTTACGTTCTCTCGCCCGTCTGGCAACCCTGTGCGTCGGTGGCAGCAGCGGCCTACGTGCACTTGTGAAGGTGCGTGGGCACGTGGACTTTGGGTGGCCGCCCGCCCCTTGTGGCCTGTGGGTGGGTATTTGCGGACTTGCAGTGGATACGTAGGTGGCCTCCAAATGCGTGTCAAGGCAAAAGGCGTACAAGTCCCACACTGAACTTGAACTGTCGCCTGGAACCGGAATTGTTGCTAATTTTAGATGCCCTTCGCAATGCAGATTAAATTGAAACGTACATAGCTTAATAAACATACACACAAAAAAAAAAAACAAAAAAAATCTATGCTTGTGCTTATACTTAATTTGTATGGGTGGGCCGCACCTCTTAATGATGGGGTAGGCTTTCAATTGCGTAGTGCTATATGCATTAAAAAAAAATTATACAAATAAATAAATAAATAACGTAAATTTTTCGACTGCAGCGAAAAGAAGAAGCAGAGGCAGCCCATTTACACGCCCACGAGACATTATTATTGCACTTGAGTTCCGTACAAAATTTAATTCCGTTTCCAATAACAAACAAAACACGCAGCAACAAATACCCACTCCCGTAAGTACTCATACAAGCTCATGTATTCACACACATACAGCCAGCCATAAATAGTGAAGCACAAGCACGCCGCCTTCTGCCTCAGCCCAACCCGACCGTCCGCACTGGCCTACGCTAACTGCTGGCTGCGCTGGCAAGTATCAACAAATGTTCACGTGAACATCATGAGGTCAACGCGTGATACACAGTATGATAATTCACAGACACAGTCATACACACGCACACACAAGCACACTCTCTCGCGCGTGTTTTGTATGGCGAGCTAGTTTCAGTCTTGCTCCCGCCCCGTTGTTGTTTTTGTTGCGCAAGAGCGCCGCCACAATACATATAAAATAGTCACAGCTGTTTGATGGTGGCTCTCTTTTTGGCTCTCTCTCTCTCGTTCGGTGTGTGGCGCTCTGTCGATTGACGACTATAAGTGGCACGAGCCCCTTTTTGCTTGTGAAACTGTTACGAACATAGCGTAGCCAGCGTTGCCAGACTCAACTGTGTTTAACTAACTCTTAGCGCATTAAGTGTAACGAGCAGATAAACGTGGGCATAAATTTATCATATTAACCGCAACAAGCAAAATTATTCCACTCAAGCTGGGCTCAATTTTCTTCACAGCTGGCAACGCTGCGTTTGCTCAACTGGTGAGCGTAACTATAAACTCAGCACCGCCCTCTAGCACCGACAAACTGGTTTCGCCCATCAATGAAATCTGTTTGCGTCTGGACTTTTGCACGACCTATTGTGTATTAACTGCCCCTTGTCGAGCAATGCGGCTAATGTACATGCAAATTATGCAGACTGGCTAATATATTGCTGATCCAATATACATACATATGTATCTGGCTGTCTGGCCGAAGCCACGGACCAGTCTAAGCTCTAGCCTGTTTTTTATTCGTCTTTTTTATCTTCTGCTCGAAGCGCTTAATCACGAACTTCCGTAGCAACAAATGCGTCAGGCGCAGCTTCAAGCTTTGGCGGCGTCGTCAATGGGACGGCCGGGCCTTAGACTCAGTCATGGCTTTGGGGTGTGTCTGTGTGGCCTCTCACAACTACAAACATGTATTCATATATGTATGTATGTATGCATATGTATGTGTGTATGGGAGTGCTGCCTTTGCTTTGCACGCTTTGTGTGCATGAACAGCGGCTATGAATAGATAGCTTCATGGAATTTTATATTTTCCCCCGAGCGCCCCGCCGCCCATTGCCCTGTGGTAAACAGCTGATGACGTCCATGCGCTCGTTACGTGCGCACTCTCTCTCCCATTCAGCCACTCAGCCTGGTAGGCCCACTGTGCGTGGGCACAGACCTGACCTTTTTGCCGCCAACACAAGCTCCATGTCTCAGCTAAATGTCAGCCCGCTGCGGAGGCGTACTGTCGAATTGCCAGCTAAAGTGGAGAGCGTGTCACGATCCTTTCGCGATAGATAAAATAAGTTATAACAAGAAATCAGCTTAACACTAAATGTATACAGTAGCTGCAAATCAAGTTTAATTAATCAAAAGATCAAATACAAATAAAAGAATGTTGCGTCTCGTGTTCGTCATGTATTAAGTCGTGGGTTTTGAGTTTAAGCTCGTGCTTGGGTCGTGACTTACGTACGCCTCTAGCAAGCACTGCCCACGTTGCCAACGCCTGGCCTGGAAAAGCAGTTACAATTGTGTCCTCCTATTGCACTGGTTGCTTTGCCTACCCGTTCAATGACGATTTTTGAAGAGAGACTCCCAACACGCCCGCGCACGTTGACGAGCAACCCACTTACAACTGATTACGTCGGCAACGTGCGCTCCCATCTCTCACACTCTCTTACCGTGTACGTCTGTGGTTGTGCTTGCGCTTGTGTGTGCGCTGCGACTGCGACTGCGATGGTCTGGTGGAAGTTCGCAGTCTGTGTTTTGTTCATTCGTCTGTTGAATTCTGAACGCTACGGTTCGTTCACACGGGCTCCTCTAGCAGCCGCATCAAGTGAAATATAAAAGAAAGAAAAAACTTTAAAAGCAACCAGGCTTTATAGCTTGTGTAAATCAAAAGTGCTAACACCGATTTAGATAAGTAATAAGGCGGACACCATCTGAAAGAGAAATTAAAAATTATTAAATAAATAGATAAACTCCAGTGCCCCTGCAACAATACTTGGCGCAGGTGCCAAAGATAGTGTGCAAGTGCAAAGTGCATCTAAATAAAAAATAAAACAAAAATATAATTACTTGTCACCCACACACACATACAATGGACATGGATACGTTGCTGCTGCCATCACCGCCTGCAACGCCCCCGCTGCGAGAGAACAAAGTGGAAAATGTAAGTCCAAGTGACTCAGAGCTCGTAAGAGATTGACCTACAAAGTGAGGCGTATAAATGAGTGTAAATGAGTGCAGTGCAAACTAATTAAAATTAAATGCGAAAAAATGCAGCCTACACACAAACACACACAGAGACAGACTTGCACTCGTATATACAGTTACAGCGAATTCCCGCATTCTATTCGTGTCCCCAGACAACACGCCTTCGCTTTTGACAAATCACGCAACAAAAAAAAGTACATGGCAAGGCAAACCATTAAGTGTAGTGCCTTCCTGCTTGCACTCGCCGCGTTTCTAAAAACAAAAGTCTCGCATCTCGCTCGCACCGCAGTAACGCTATGCGATCACGCAGCGGGCACGCTTTCACGTGAACACCGCATGCACAGCGAGTGATACAGCATATACACACACATACATATATAGACCCCATGCACACACACACAGGGCGAACATTGGACTCCACGGCAATGTGGAACTGTCGTAGTTATTTGCGCGCCTTGCCTGCAACGTATAAATATATATGTGTGTGTGTGTGATTTTTTGCTGAGAGCGTCTTAAAGAGAGCCGCCTGCTGACGTAGTCAGAGCACATTTGTTTGAGAGCATTTGCCCGAGTAAGTGCGACTGTGTGTGTGTGAGCGTTAAGACTGTGCGAAGGTGCGTTGTCAATTAGAAACAGCAAGCGGTAGAAAAACAAACAAAACCAAGCCCCAGACAGGCAGCGGCGCTTCATATAAAATATGTCACATTTTTTTACTTTCTGGTTATCGGGTGCACAAGCGAGCAAACAAACAAAATAGGTACACAACCACACACACACACACGCACGCACCAAACGAAGGCAACGTGCCGAGCCCCATAAAAAACAACATAGCGTCTCTGCCAGCAGCGACGCCAGCTGCACAAATTTGTAGTGCATGCTTTTGGGCTGTGTCGGTAATTCGCAGGGCGCCTCGGTGGCTTTCAACAGTTAGACAAACTGCCAGACGAGTTTAAAAAAATACAATCATGCTACTTGATACCCTGTAAGAAATTCTACTAAGCTGTTCGCTAAATAAAATAATATATATATATATTTATAGTCACGAGACAAATTTCTTTAAATGACTCATTTTGCATGCTACTCGATTTGGGGAATTACATCGTATATCAAAAAGTTATAATGTCGCAATGGCATTAACCCCACGTTAGTCGCACGAAATTTACGTGGGGCCGCTGCTGAGGGTTAAGGTTAAATGTGAATGGCCTTGTCGCTTTTAACCAACGTCGGCGTCGCCGTCGCTGTTGACGCTGACGCCGATGTCGACGCCCGCGCACATAATTAGCGAATTTTTCACTTGGGGTTTTTTGCACTCGCCAAAAAGTTATTGTAGGTCAACGTCAGACGGGGAAAAGTGAATGTGAATGTGAATCGTATTTTCGGGGCCAGAGGCAGTGAACTCGCCCGCCCACGTTTATTGAACCCAGTTACTAATCGAAGTCTTCTCCCCTCTGCTCATGCTTCTTTCAGGCGGCCAAGGACAAACAACTGGTCAGCGAGAATCTGCTAAAGGCCAAGCTAAAGCTGGTCGCCAATCAGCAAAGCCAAAAGAATGGCATCATCACGCCCAATCCCTCGGACACCGAGGACGATACCAGCGATGTGCGGCCCTGCAAAAAGGCGCGTCTAGAACAGCCAGCGGTCACATTGACACCGCCGCCAGATCAGCAGCAACAGCTTAAGTCGGAGCACGACCAGGATGCCGAAGCACTTGCTCAACGTGTCAGCGTTATCATGCGAGTGAATAGCCTGGGCACGGTCAGCTCATCCAATGAGAACAGCTCAAAATCCAGCTCCAGCTCGAGCAGTTGCTCTGCTGCCGCGCTCGCCACTCCCATTTCCGATGACTATCCGGAGGAGAACGTTTGGCGTAATCTCAAGTACAAAATGAATCGCAAACGTGCCGCCGAGGTGGCACTGCCCACAGCCACAGCTACTTCCACACCCACTCCAACAGCAAAGCCAACAGCTACGGAACAGCTGCCCCAGTCGACATATGCAGCAACAGCTTCTCCTGTTTATATACAAGCATCCGCTCCTGATTCACAGCTGCTGATCCTGAGCAACGTGGCAGCCGCTGCAGCCGCCGCCAATGTACCATCGTCTTGCCAGTCCACATCCACAAGCTCCGCATCCTCATGCTCCTCTTCAGCGTCCTGCTCTTTGGCAGGCAAACGCATCACCGCCGCCCAAGCAGCAGCCACACGCAGTCGCATCTACGAGTGCAGCTTCCCGGACTGCGGCAAGAACTACTTCAAGAGCAGCCATCTGAAAGCCCATCAGCGCGTCCATACGGGCGAGCGTCCCTTTATCTGCAAGTGGGACAACTGCGACAAGCGCTTCTCCCGCTCCGACGAGCTCTCGCGCCACAAGCGGACACACACCGGCGAAAAGAAGTTCCAGTGCATCGTCTGCTCCAAGAAGTTCATGCGCAGCGATCACCTGTCCAAGCACGTCAAGCGCCACAACAAAGACAAGGCGAACGGTGTCAATCGCAATGTGAACTTTAGCACAACGGCCGCCGAAGCAGTTGCCGCTGCTGCGGCAGCAATGTGTGAACCCACGCTGCAGCTGCGCGCCATTGCACCAGCCACCACCACCACCACCACCAGCTCCAATTCCAACTCCAGCTCCAGCTGCACCTCGAGTGTATTACAAACTCCCGCCACATCCAGTCACTCGCCCAGCAGTTTGCACATCTACAGCGCACAGGATTTGCTGCGACTACAGCAGCAGGCGTCCACATTTGTGGGTACCTTTGTGGCCAGCCGATAGGCAGTCCACCATCCACCATCCAAAATCTCATCTCGACACAGTATGACCAGCTCAATCGTGCAAACTCTGGAGCAGATCCACATGCGGGCCGGCTGGCGTAGTCTTAAGTTCTAGTTAGGAGCTAATTCTTGTCATCGTTATGTTAGGCTTCACATACAAATTATCCCTATATTAGCAAATGGATACCCCTCACACACATACACTCACACCTATTCATTCACACACTTTCCTCGTACTCATTTTAGTTTAGGGCTCTTCTTATTATATCTAGTGCATAAACTCTATAATATAGCTACAAAATCTGTGATATTTAAGTTTTCTTAACACTTTTTCTATTGTACAATAATTATCGCTCTGAAAATTTTAAATCTAAACAAAGAAAAGATACCTGGTATACCTAAATAGTATCAAAGGTCCAAATCTCAAGAAAACATAAAAACAAAACATACAAAAACAAAAAAGAACACAAATACTATGTGAAAATATATTTTCCATACAATAATTTAAACCAAGTCTTTCAAATGGGTTAAAAATGTTTGTTTATATTTACAATCTCATATTCTTACTCTAACATGCTTTGTGCTTAACATCTACATTTACAATTCATATAATTAGCTTTATCTTTCGTACTGCAGTTCATCTATAAAATATTTGCTAGTGTATTGCATATTCGTATATATTCAATCCAATTATTTTTTCGCATCAACTAAGATTTGAAAGATTACACACCCAGGAGCGTGGTCAGCTCACACATGGCTCGGGGCTTGGCTTGAGGCGAGCAGGCCTGTCGCACGGCCATCTCCCAGGTGTCCAGTAGGTGCGACAGTGAATAGTTTTTGGGCAGCTTTGACATGCGAGCGATCAACGCCTGTTGCACGGTCTGCAGAAACGGCGTCGCCGAATATTCCTGTTCGGTGAGCGAACAGTCGGGCGATTGCCATGGATACTCCTCCGGCACACTCACGCTCACTGGCGGAACGCTGGGTAAACATTTATCGTCCAGACAACAGATCAAACGTATTGCCCTATTGTTGTTCTGAGCAGTCGTGTCTAGTTTGACCTTGAACTTTGTATCTAGGCGAGCAATCTCGCCCTGCAACACATGCGGCACCTCTTGTTCAAATGGCGATGACTTCTCCTCCAGGTGCGGTTTCTTGGGTGCCACTGGCGCACAAATATCTGTGCCAAAGAGCAGCTCCAAGCTGGGCCTGAATGTGCGATGCAGCGTATGATTAGCCAACGGGCTCTGCAGTGTAGTATTGATGACCTCCAGCAGCGGATTAGACGATTTCTGGAAATCGATTGGAAAGGGGTTAGTTAAAGGTCTTATCATGCGAGAATCCACTTACGCCAAACTGCTGACCCGAGTATGAGACTAGGTCCATTTTCTCTAGCGCCTTCTCACACTTCAGCAACGTGTCCAGCTGCACACGTTGCGTCGGATTGCAGAGGATTTCCAATAGCTTACTCATCTTGGTCATCTTTTCGACATCTGCAAAGGGAAAATAATATTTAATATAACATATTTAAAATATGAGAGAGAGCTCACTGGTTCCATCATTGGTAATCTTGCCCAGCATGCGCTTCAGTGGCTCAATGTACTTGGTCAGCTGCTTGTACTTTTCCCTATAGAGCGCTTCCTCTTGTGGATTAAATGGACTGTTGCCCGTCACTTGGCCGGGCGTATTGATCGACGCACTTGGCGATTGCTGCCGTATGTTGCGCTGTTGGTTCTGCAACATCATTTGCGGACTGGACTGGGGCACCAATGCCGGGCTGGGTATCATTTGTGGTGTGGGCATCTGTGGTGTGGGCGGTTGCTGTGTGGGCGTTTGATTGCCCACCAATTGCTGTTGTTGTTGCTGCTGCTGCTGTTGCTGCTGTTGTTGCTGTTGTTGTTGCTGCTGTTGTTGCTGTTGCTGCTGCTGCTGTTGCAATTGCTGCAATTGTTGCTGTTGTTGCAACTGCTGGGCATCAGCTGGCGAGGGGCTAGAACGCATGAAAGGCTGCTGCGGCTGCTGTTGGCCGCCAACAACTCCACCTCGATTGCCCGGAAACATTTGGCCCGCTTGCCCCATTGTCATATTCGGCTTCTGCTGCATGTTCGGCGGCATATTCACAGTCATGCCATTCAGGGGATTCATGGCGCCGCCCTGCTGCACTGCATTCGGTGGCAAGCCACCGGGCCCACCCACCTGTTGCTGTCCAGCCGGCCCGCCAACAACATTGTGCTGCTGTTGCATATTAGACGGCATGCCCTGCATGCCTTGATTTAGCCGCATCATCGGATTGCCCATGCCCATCTAAGAGAGCGGCATGTATTAGTATAAATACATACGGACTAAGCATCTACTTACCACCATGGGCGACATTTGATTGGGCATGCCACCAGTTGCACCTCCCGTAGGTCCACTATTTGGTCCCGGGCCCACCATCTGGTTGGGCATTCCGCCTGCATTGCCAACGATTTGGCCTTGGCCCTGCGCCACGGCAGGACCCATGGCATTCAGCTGCATGCCTCCTGCGCCGCCAGGTCCATTGCCTCCAGCCATTTGCTGCACCTGCACCATTTGCTGCCCACCAGCGCCAGCCCCCATGGGCAGTTGACCACGTATGTTCGGCATCGGTTGCATTTGTTGTTGGCCGGGCCTCTGCTGGTTGAGTGTCTGTAGCAAATTGGATGCAGTGCCTGGGCCACCTGGACCAGCCATTTGATTTGGACCCGGAGCACCGCCCATTGGCATCAATTGAGGATTTCGGTTCCCCTGGCTAGCCAGATTTTGAAGCGCATTCAATGGATCTTGCATTATATTTTGCTGTCCCATCTCGGCGTTAGGCGGCGGCTGTTGCTGCTGTTGTTGCTGTTGCTGTTGTTGCAGTTGCTGCTGCTGTTGCTGTTGCTGTTGTGCCTGGGACTTTCGCGACACATCCTTATAATGCATAAATAATTTGGCCACCAGCCCCAGATACTCATCCTTCGTGCGAGACTTCCGAAATATGTGATTCTCCATAATGCTAGCATTTTTATTCTGATCCGGTGCGTTTTGGGGCAATACGTCGTGGCTGTGAAAGCCATCGGAAAGTTCCATTAAAACTGCTTATGCATAAGCGAACTGCTTACTTACATTTTGGAAATCACATTTTGACGAAAGTTTTGACTTTGCCACTCTTCAGCCATATTTCAATTCCGCGATTGCGATTTCTTATCAAGAGAAAATTTTTTTCTTCGCAATGGACGCAGTCGCTATTTTCGCTTGGGTCTTCCACGATAATCGACAAGACATATCGCTAAAATTTGCGGAGTGGCAGCACTTTTCGCGTTTTTAAATCACCTACCACCAACCGTCTGGCAGCCCTGCGTTTCTTTTACGTCAGTCTGGCAGCACTGAGTGTCTTTTGAGTCAGTCTGGCAGGCTTACGTGTCTTAGCTATTTGTGGCGCGCAAATTTGGGGACTGCAGTAAAGAAAGAAAAATTTACCGACTAATTATGATCCGGCACTCTTGTGTTTTGTTAACTGTAAATAAAGAATGTCATGTTCAATTAGCACGAGCTCAGGCTCATGTATGCCATGGCTGTCAGTCAATTACCTGCCTAAAACACCTGTATGAGGTTCTCTGCAGTACACATACAGATACACACACACATATAGACACATATGCATATGTAGACACGAATAACACTGAGAACAGCTCGCGCGCTCTAAACTTTTACTTGCTTTCGTTTTGGCGCGTGCTTCTGCTCCGGCTCACCGTTTTTACCGTTGCTCATTCGTATCTCGACTTTCAGACAGAGCGCACGTCCGTTTGCTGGTTCGTTCGGCGGTTCGTTCGTTCGTGTGTGTGTGTTTATTTCTTTGCGTTGTTATTAACTTTTATATTTACTACGTCTACGTTCCTCGTATATATGTACATACAAATATGTACTTCTACATCTCTATATTGTATGTGTCGGTTATATTTAGTTCTCTACAATTTACGCGCTGATATTTCAATTCGCCACGCTGCTGCCACCTGTACAGCGTTCATTTAGTGTCTTCTGCCGCTGGCCCCTCTCCAACAACAACAACCACACTAACAACAACAACAACAGCAGCAACAATCATAATAATTGAAAACGCTGTCAATGCCGGCTGCATTCAAAGTCGCGTTTTGTGTACGTGTATCTGTATCTTTAACTTGAATTCGTGCAAAAAGCGCCGTCGACAGCGGCGACAGCAATAGCAGCAGCAGAGGCCACCAAATTACACCAAAATTGTTTCATAAACGTATCTTTTTACAAAACAACCGCAACAACAATAACAAGAACAGCGGTAACCAAAACAAGTAAAATAGAGTGTATTATCAGTTACCTTGGCGAATGAAAATTTGTGCCAAGCAGCAGCAGAGCAGCCGCGTCGCCGTCAACGTTGACGTTGTGCGTTTACATGTGTGGTGCGTAGAAAAATGATAATTGAATGCAATAAATAAAAATTCACAGCAACAACTAAAACAACAACAAGAGTAGCAGCAACGGCAACAGGAATAATATCAAATTATATCACAACTAATAGTGCACATAGCGCAGCACAACAACAATATAATCAAGCGAAACGGCAGATACAAAACAAACACACACAACACAATAACAAAATAGCAAACGGCAGAACGTTTAAGTGAGCAGCAGCAGCGACGCATCGTCACGACGCGACGTTGGCAGAGACAGCGAAAATAGCAACAAAATGTCGAAAAACTGTTGAGGTTCGTATTTGTGTGTATGTATGTAAGTGTGTGAGTCTGTAATATTAACGTTGTGTATGCTTTATGAATGCCGTGCGCTCTTCTATATATGTATGTGTATTTGTATGTGAATACGTGGTTTATTTGCTGCTTCAGTGCATACGTTGGCTTCATGCTGCCCCCTCTACGTTCTCTTGCACATTCACTCTCTCTTTCTCTGTCTCTCGTGCCCTTCTCCTTCTATCTCTGCTTTTGAGTGTGGCTTATGCTGCCAGCGTCGCAGTCGACGCAATCTTGGGGTGCTCTACTTATTCTGTTCTTTTGGCATGTTTTTTTTTTGCGCCCCAATAGCGACAGCAACGATGTTGATTACAGCCTACAGCCCAAAATGCCCCAACACACACACACAAGCGCACGAATTCAGACAAGCCATAACAATGGCAGCGGCCACAGCAAAAGTGTGTTGACATTTTGTTGTTGCTTTTGTTGTGTTTTCCGTCTGTTTTGCTCTATATGTATGTATGTGGTGCAGCATATGTGCGTGTGTAAGTGTCTCTGCCGCCTGGCAGGGGTAGTGTACGTGTTTAAATTATCAAGCTGAGCTTGTCAGCGCTGGCAGCACGCATGCATATACATACGTACATACAGATATGTATGTACATACATATATGGAAATACAGCTGTATAGCACTGTGTACACATGTATACATGGGTATAAGTATGTACGTATTTATGTACATGCGTTTGTAACTGTGCCGGTGGGCTGGAACTTGGACTGGTAGTGCGCAAAGGGCTTCAATTCACGACGGCAAATGACAAAGAGACAAACAGACGGTGGGACGAACGCAACCTATTGATTTTCAATCAATATTTATGGTGGCTTCCCTCACCCTGTGCTTCCGCTCGTGTGTCTTTTCTTTCTACTTCGGCCTTTCTAGCTTTTGTTGTTGATTTTTTTTTTTACGTTCGCTTTGCTGTTCGATTTTTGAATATTGTCTTGCATTTGAATTGCTATTGCTTCTTCTGTGGCTTCGGCGCCAAAGCCGCTGTCGCTGTTGCCGTTGATGTTGCTATTTTGTTGCTGCTTCTTTTTTGCTCTATTCTGGTTTCACCTTTGGGCGACGCGAGACTCACTCACGCATGCATAATCAACAACTGTATTATTTCGCTGTGTGTTGCGGGTGTGTGTGTGTCAGTGCGACTGCGCTGCCAATTTTGCTGCTTTTGATTTCTGTATTGTTGTTGCTGTCACTGTAATCGCGGCTTTTTTATTATCATTTGATTGCGCTGCTTTTATGGTTGCCGTTGTTTTTCATTTTTCTTGCTGCTTTGTCGCCTATTTGTGTGAGTGTTTCATTTTTTTTTTTTCTTTTCTTCCGTTTTGGTTTTTTGGCCAATTCCGTTTTTGCAATGCAACCGCAAGATCGTTTTTGGCTTTGTTTTCATATCAATTAGTTTCTGTCGCTGTTGCTGCATTCCATTATGTATTTACTTTTCTTTTCTTTTTTTCTGGTCTTGTGTTTATTTAATTCGCTTCGTAGCCACGTTTGGTCCTCTATTTTCACCTGGCCTGTTAACGCTAACGGCTCAAATCTTTTGCCGTATATTTTCTTAATTTGTGTTTTGTTTTTGCTTGTTTGTTTGTCTGCTACTTGTCTTGTTTGTTGCCGCAGTTAACAGCTGCGTCGTTCGCCTGTCGCTTGTTTGTCACGCTTCACCATCGAACCGTTAGGCAACGGCACGTTGCCTCCCATAATGGGAGCGTGGACTGCATTTCAGTCGTCGCACAGTGAATCTCGGGTATACAAAGCCACGATATGACGTCGGCTATGTTGACGTTTTGCTTTATTTATATCAAGGACCCGGAGACAGAGACATATGCATATGCATATTTTCTTAGATATTTATATATCATATTGATTAATAACTGTCGATTAATGAAAAAACAAGAATTTCATTCAACATAATCTGTATTAGTCATTTAGTAAATGTAGATTAAAACATCAATCGCTTTTATTTTAAGCTTTATTCTTATCATCAATGGACCCTTTGTTTCTATTATTCAATGTCCGCTTAGGATAGGATTTTTTATTATTATTTAATTGCACTGTTTGGTAATATTGCCCCACTGTGTATCCATGCAACTGTCAAGTTTGCTTATGAGTGTACGTATTGCATGTGTGTACATGTGTACGCCTTTCATTTCCGCCGGCGCTTCAGCTGTCAAATGTGCAGAGACGCCAGGTACCAGCTATCCCTGCCCACTATCCACCCCGATAGCCAAACCCTTTGGGGCTGGCCAGCCGGCGCTTTAGTTGTGTGCGCCACGGTTTCTCACCACGGCAACCACTTGTTTTCCCAAGCAAAACAACACACACAAACAGACACACACATACACTACCATACATACACATCAATATATACATACATGCATAGCAAAAGCCCTCACTCGTTCAGTCTCTCTCGCACACATACACACAAACACTTGCTTGAACCCGCCCTGCTTTAAGCAGGACTTTCCGCTCTGTTTGTATGTGTCGTCTGCGTTGACAGCGGCGCCAGCGTCACTGTTGGCGTCAGCATCTGCGTCGACGCCAGCCGCGGCCGCAGCCGCACAATTCACACATTCCGTTGCGTCTCTAGCGTCGCGGCAACAGATGAAAAAGTTTCTCGCGCGCACACATTCGAAAGCCACAAAAACGCTGCTTGGAGTTTAAATAGAAATTCGTTGTTTTCGTACTTGTTTGTTGTTGTTGTGCTTGGTTTTTATATCGAGTTATTTAATATAAAAAATTACGCATACGCAGCGCTGACAGATGTCAGCCTGTAACTAGACTACACAATCGAGCGCGGTCAAAAACGTGCACGGTCCATCAACTACAGTAATGTGAAACCTCTCTCGTTCTCCCTCTCTCTCTCTCATTCTGTCTTTCTCTCTGTATATGTGTGTATGTGTGAGTGAAGCTGTTGCGCGCGTTTTTCTCTTGCTCTGTCGCCTTGAACATCAACATATGGCAACATAATTGTGTCGTCTCTGAAGTCGCTTTCGATTTGTGCATAAATTGTGTTGTTTACGGTGCAAGTTTGTTGTTTTATTCAACACTTTGTTTGTGGAATAACTCAATTTAATCTAACATCTGGCCTGGTTAATGTTATATACATACATACATAAATAGAAAGGAAGAAAATCAGAACTGTGAACTGCGCTTATTGGTTTTAAAGTTAACTTTAAATCTACTGCAAATACTTTGAAAAAGGTTATAATCATTATGTGATTTAAATTAGAAAATGAAATTAGAGAATATATAAAATTTAAGCATAAAGTTTTTCTTTATGATTAAATGTTTAAGTGATGTTATGCCAATGGGACTTGTTATAGCTGTTGTGTACCTAAATATGCTCTATATGCATATACTTGTATGGAGTGGAATCGAATTATATAGATTTGCTGTGGCATCATAAATTTATATTTTTTGTATTATTATTTAGTTTTATATACATAATGGTTGCGTCCATGTCATTTAAATTTGGTATCGTACCTCAAGTCACGAAGTACATATACAGTAGATCAAACATCAAGCTATAATCAACTGACTTGTTCAGTCACGTAACTAAATTTGTGTTAACAAGTCTTCAGTCAGCTGTTCTGAGCAATAGATAACCCTTAATGACAAATAATATACATCTATGTATAATATCAACAGGAAAACTGTTTACCTATATGATGCTTAACATGCAACTTGGGCGTTGATAACTCAATTAATCAATTAATCTGTCAGGAAGAATTCACATACCGAAAGAATGAACCTTTTGTATATAGAAAATTAGGTATAATCTTCGCAATTCCTAAAAAGCTATTGTATGTGCCTTATATTTCCTAGACTTCTGCTGTTTACCCATATCAGGTTCCATTCAACCTGCTAAAGTTCCTAAGATCTTAGAGTATTCAGAAGTTCTATGCCTCAATCAGTTTGCTCTTCAATACCCATTATAAAATTGCATATTATTATCTAGAATTTCTAAGAGTATTAAAAATTCTGCAGCTTAATGTCAATGACAATACGATTTCGATCGCGATCTCATTTATCGATTGGCATAATGATGATGATTCGGTCGTTTGGCTACGCTCAATTAGATTAAGAGCCCATCAATAATTGTGACCTGCGTAGTTGACCATTAGGTGATTAGTGCTGGGCATCCAATCCAATCTGTTAGCCATCATCAAGCTAACCAGCTCCTCGGCTCACCAGGCCATATATATCGGCGCATATGGCCAACAATCGCTATATAAGAGACGAGTGTTCGCGAGCAAACGAAAGTGAATTAACATAATGGATTCCGTGTACTACAGGGCAACAGCGCCGCCTTGCATTTATCATACGAACTGCCAGCGCAAGCGGGCGAGAGGGGGGCGTGTACGTGCCGCAACAACGGAGGCAACATCGGCTGCAACAGCGGCAGCAGCGGCCGCAGCAACAGCAGCTGCCACTTGCGCTTTCGCTGACCGCTGCCTGCTGCGTCTGCTGGTCACAGGTGGTCAGCGTCGACGACGACATCGTCATTATCATCATCACCACCATCATCATTATCGTCGTCGGATTGTGTGTCAGTGGAAAAGACTTAAACGCAGTTCATTATTTATGCTGGGCCGACGGCCCGAGGGGACAGTGGCAGACCGCAATTAATATCACTATTTTGAAGTCCATGTGTGTGCGTGTGTGTGTGTGTGTGTGTGTGTGTGTGTGGCACACTTTGTTGTGGGCGTTGACATTGAGAGTCGTCCGGCGTCACGCCCAATCGTGTAGTCCAGACATGCTGTCGTCAGCCCACTGTCCCTTGGCACAGTGGGTCAAGCGTCCAGCTGATCGAATAATTAATTAATATAATTACTTTGTGGAGAGTATATGAAAAACATATATTTAATCGTAATATTGACATCAATTTATTCTGTCTGTCGGTCCGCTTAAATGTGTCGATCTCGAAAACTATAAAATCGAACGAAATTAAATTTGGAATATGTATAACACAGAGTAAGAGCATTCCTTTTATTGGATATATTCCGCAATTTCTGAAATATAAAAATAAATCTCTTTCAGGAATGTATTTCAATATAATACTTAAATATATTTTTATAATAAATTAGTAATCCATATAAGCAGGCATTTAGACATTTTTCTAATGGATGCAATCCTAAATTTCTTAAATATAGAAAAAATTTGATTTTTACTGTAAGAATTTTTCATGGATTTTTGTGATAGAATATGATTATCGTGTCTTTCTTACACTATATTTATTATCTTCCAAAAATTCGTATACATATATGTATATTTTTATAATGCAACAGGTTATAAACCGTAAATATTTCATCATATTTGAAATTATATTAAAAAACATAGTTCCACTTAGATAATTCACACTTTTAGTCCTCTTACATTACCTATTGAGCTATTTAATGTGAGCTGTTGAGTATTAATTGTATCCACTGTGTATTGCTCATCCGCCATGTTGGCCATGTTGGCGGCAATCGTTAATATTTAATGAACAATCGCATTTCACAAAGTTGACGCGAGTACGTTTCATTTCGCTGACCTGAACGGGTTGGCGGGTGTCCAGTAAGGAGGAAGGTAGCTGGGCGGAAGGTTGGGGTATTCCCATACAGCTGGCCAGCATTTAGACATCAACCCCATTGACACACTTGAATGAGGACCTGCGCGTGGCTCGTAGCGCCGCGAAATGCGACATTTATGACCATTAAAGTCGCCAGCAGAAGCAGCTACAACAACGACGACAACAAAAGCCAAGGGGGGAGGTAGTGGGTGCGGGGTTCTGAGAGGTTAGGTTTGGGGCTTTTCCATTTTTCATTTAAATGCCATGGAATAATTGCTTTTTCCTGTAGTACCGCGCACATGTGTTTGTCTTTCTATGTGTGTGCGTTTGTATGTGTGTGTTGGCATGTATGTGTAAGGAGGAGGGGTAGAAGAAGGGGCAAATTGGGTACACTGTAAACAAAGAGGGCATTACATACATGTACATACACACGTATATATATATATATATATATATATATATATATATATACACACATACATATGTAAATGTATTTGTGTAAATTGTCAACTTTTGTTTTGTTCTAATGCCCTTCAAAAATAGCATAAATAGCTGTATTTCACTATGTCTGCTTAGCTTTGGTCGATTTTTATGAAAAATAGTTTGCAAAAGAGCAAAGCAAAGAGCAACAGAGAAATATAAATGCAGTTTGGGGGATATATCCATTATATGATCTAAATGTGGAGAATCGAATATAATATGTTTATATAAGTTATATAGGCAATTCTTAAAAAAAAAATGGGCTTAGCTTTCTTATCGATTCTCTCTGATTTCTTATAGTTGGTATAAAATGTTTCACAGAAATTCTTTAAAATTGAGAAGATTCAAAGAGATCTCTAAGGAAATGTATGTAGAAAGTTATCCCCCACACTTTATATAGCTGCAGTTAATAATATATACTTAAGAATTCATTCACATGAGCGTAAACCTTTTCTTAGAATAATTTTCGTGTTTAATTTGATATTCTCTCATATCCTCGATGACATCAATCAAGTATTCTCTTTATAGTCTGCATTAGCTCTGATTTGTAGGGCACTTAAGCTCTGACCTGTCGCTAAGCTCTGTCTGAGGCTATTTCAGTTTTCTTTTATGTTCTTCGACTAGTTTTGCTTACATTTTGTTGTTGTCGTTACAGCTGGCAGCATGGACTCGGCCGCCATGGCCATTGCTGTGGGCAGCAATTCGGGCCCCGGTAGCAGCAGCAGCGCCAGCAGCGGCTATGGCAGTGCCACGACCACGCCCACAACTCCGCTAAGCTCCGGCAGCCTTTACGAGGGAACGCCAACGCCAATGGCCACCATTGCGACGGTGGCGCCCTTTTATAGTGAAGCATTGACCAGCCTGGATGCGCAGCAGCGACAGCAGCAGCAGCAGCACCATCAGCAGCAGCACCAGCAGCAACAGTTACAGTCCCAGCAGCAGCAGCAAACGCACTTTTATCATCAGAACTATAACTATGCTGGCATGGAGGCGTACAACTACAGTGCGTACAACTATAATGCGCCAGCTGTGCCGCCCAGTGGTTATCAGAAGCTGGCGGCTGTCAAGTACAACAGCAGTAACGGCAGCAGCAGCAGCAGCAGCAGCAGCAACACAAGCAACAGCAGTGGCGGCATCAACAACATCAGCAACATAAACAACAGTAACAGCAGCAGCAGTAGCAGCAGCAATATTATGAGCAGCAGCAAGCCGCAGGCGGCAGCCACGCCCTTTTATGCACAGCCCCAAAGCATGTCAATGTCCATGTCGATGCCCATGACATCTGGCGGCTATATGAACCAAGCGAATCCCTATGAAGCATACAAGTACAAAATACCGACACAGCTGCACACACAGCAACAGCAGCAACAGCAACAGCAACACCAGCAGCAGCAACAGCAGCAGCAACAGCAGCAGCAACAACAGCAACAACAGCAGCAACTGCAGCAGCAACAGCAGCAGCAGCAGCTGCAGCTGCAGTCAACGCAGCAATATCACAGCTTGAGCCTGGCTCAGAAGCAAAGCCAACACCCGCAGCAGCAGCAGCAGCAACAGTTGCATTCCCAGCAGCAACCGTTGCCGCCACAGCAGCAGCAGCAGCAACTACAGCAACAGCAACAGCTGCCACCGCTGGAACCCAACTATGCTGCTATCAAGCCAAGCAGTCGCTACCAGAATATGCCGCCAGCTTTGTACGGCAGCCCAGGTGCGGCAGGATCGGGTGCTGCTCCCGCGGCTGCCCAGTTGCCCGGGTCGTACTATGACAAGTATGCCATGTCTCTCTACTCACCGAACGGCGGCCTGAGCTTTGGCGCACCGGCGCCGCTCTACAGTCCGCCGGAGCTGGGCGCCGAGTCGGCTTATCGCAAGTCCAGCCACTGGAACGTTGACTACAATGCGGCCAACTATCGCACGATTTCGGGCAACAGCAGCGCCTATCATCATGCCGTGGCGAATGCTCCACCTCCACCTGCACATCCACATCCACATCCACCTTCACATCCGCCCAATGCAAGCAGTGGCGACGTGTACTACAAGTACGACAAGTACGCCTCGTCTCAGCCGACGGCTCCATATGCGACCGCCAATCCCTATCAGACGAACATCACACAGCCCTATGCTGCACGCGGTATCTGGCCAGCCAATCCTGTGGAGAATCCGCTGCCCAACACCAGGCAAAACTGCTGCACTCAGCCGTATCCACAGCAGAGTTGCTACTATCCGCGCAGCAATGGCTATGGCTCGCAGCCATCACAATATGGTGGCGTCCAGGCCAGCAGCCACAAGCTCAAGCATCCGACTGATCTCTATGGCTCCTATGAGCCACTCCCGCCCGCCCAGCTGGGCTATGGCTATGCTCAGCCAGGCGCTGCGGTCGCACCACCCAACCCAGCGGCGCCCGCCAGCAGCAGTCAGCGCTATGTGCCGCCGCTGGGCCTCAACATGGGCCTCAGCATGGGCGTGGGCGTGGGAGTGGGCATGGAGGCTAATGTAAGCAGCGCCTACTACAATGATCTCAGCAGTCTGGATGGCTATGGGCCGGTGCCGGTGCAGGTGCCAGTACCCGCTCAGCAGTCGCATCGGTCCCAGCCTTACCAAAGCGCCAGCTCCTTGGAGTATACGTACAGGAAGCGGGCACCACCAACGGCCGGTGGCTGCTATTTGTCGGCAGGTGGTGCACCGCCACCGCCGCCGCTGGGCAATCTGGAGGCCCATGTGGACAGCTTTGTGGGCTACGATCTGCACGCAGCTGCGCCGTCCCACTATCCAGCGCAGCATCAGAAGCAGCAGTCGCAATCGCAGTCGATGGCGCAACCACTGGCACCACCCAGCTCGAATAGCTCCAATATACGCGACTTTCTGTCCAGCTGGAACGACGACGAGGAGGAGCAGTCGGTGCCGCAGCCAGTACGCTTGGAAACCGAACTGCAGCAGCCGACGGTGGCTGTGGTAGCGCCCGTTGCACCACCCAACCACTCGAGCTTCATGTACGAGACGCTGCCGCCGACGGGTCCGGAAGCCACGGCTGTCCTGGCTGTCCAGGCGAATCAGTTGCCGCAGTGCCCGTCAATGAATTTGCCGGACATCATTATCGATCACCACCATGAGAAGTCAGCGCTGGCCCAGCCCAGTGTGGCGCATGTGGAGGATTCCTTTGGCAGCTTCGATGTGGAAAAGGAGTTGGATGAGCTGCGTCTTAAAAAATGCGGCGTGGATGCCAACGAGTCACAGCCCGGCGATACAGATGCCCTGGCCGAGATGCTGCGAGAGCCGGTGGTGTCGCAGCCGGAGGAGTCACTCGTGTCGCCTCTGCCACTGCCGCTGTCCAGCCAACTGCTGCCGGACCCAACGGCCATTGAGTTCGACCCGAGCAACAGCAACTCGAACGAGTCCACGTTCGAGAAGGAGTACGAGACGTTCATAAATAAAAACGAAGGCAGCGACAGCGATCCGGATCCGAATGGCCAGCTCAACAGCGAGTATCCGGAACATGGCAATCGCTTCAAGTTTTACAAGCGCAAGCGAAAGACCACGGAGCCAGCAGAGGAGACGACAACGGCGGTAGCAGTCATAGAGAGCACAACTGCAACCAATGTTCCAGATGCTATCTTAGATGGTGCTACAGTTGCTGTTCCGGCTCCTAAGCCAGCTCTGTCTCCGGTTTCTGCTCCTGCTCCCTTAGCCATTGCTCCTGCTCCTGCTCCGCTTGCGCCCAAAGCAGCGGCACGTGCCAGCCGCAGACGCCTGGCGCGCCGTCGTCGCAATCGCATCAAGATGCTAAAGATTCTAGAGTTTGAGAGTCCCAAGATCAAGCATCGATTCTATTTCCGTACGCTGAAGCTGCTGCGTCGCCGATTCGCTTCGGCTCGGCTGCGGCAGCAGCGTCTCGAGCGCATGCGTCGCCATTTGGCACTCAGCAAGGAACGTCGCCTGCCTCTAATAAAACGCGAGTCAGCTAAGCAATATAAGGCTCTGAGCACCATGGAGGCTACTTCGGCTCGAGAGACGGTCATCAAGGTTGGATATGCGCTGCGAGAGAATCAGGCGCACCGTGAGCTGGAGCATATGAGTGGAGACTCCGATCAAACGGTGCAATCTGTGGATCTGTTGGGCAGCTTCAAGGGCTTCGATGATGTGGAGAATACGAATCTATCGCCGAAGGCCAAACTGCATGCCGAAACAGAAGTGCCAGAGGAAAAACTTATTAAAAATGTTGAGGAAATGCCCATAAGTGCGGAGGCAAAGCAGCTGGAAATACAGCGTTGGCTAGACCACAGCATGGAGGAGCATCCGGCTGCAATTCAGTCAACCGAAGCCATTGCAGCCACCGTCATCAGCTTGAGCTCATCCTCCTCTTCGTCGTCGTCGTCCTCCTCCTCCTCCTCCTCTTCGTCAACATCCTCCGCCAGTTCAACTAGCTCATCATCTAGCTCTTCCTCGAGCAGTTCCAGCAGGGAGAGCGAGAAAAACGCCTCCAATTCGAGCAACAACAGCTGCTCTGGCGAGGAGAGCGACTTCAATGAGATGGCCGCACTGGAGAAGGAGCTCTCGCTAACCGCCATGCCAAAGCCAGCAACGGATCTGCAGAGCAGCGAGAGCCTGATGCAGGCGTCCAACAATGACATAGCAAAGCTCAAGCAGATCCTCGAGAGTGATGGCGACGATGAGGAGCAGCACCAACAGCAGCAGCAGCAGCTGGCCAACAACGTACCAAAGCTAAGTGACCTTAGTAAAATTGCCTTAAATAGTTCCTTAAAATCTAGTGACATAGTCAAAGATGCCGCCGAGGCAGCCACAGAGGCGCCTCAGCAACAGCAACAGCAACAGCCACAGGCACAGCAGCACCGTGAGCTCAGCGTCGAGGAGGCGCTGGCCGAGATGTATCAGCAGATAGGCGTGGCCTCCGATGCCGAGGACAATGAAACGGAACCGGATGCCAAGCAGCTGATCGATGTCGCTGCCGGCTCTGGCCAGGATGTCCTGTTGATCAATCTGGCCGAGATTTTCGATAATAGCAGCAGCGATCTCTACGTGGTGCAGTGCGACATGAATGAGAACATCCTGGGCGTGGTGGAGCACGACGAGCTCGAGCAGCAGCAGCCGCCGACAGTAGCAGGAGCAGCAGCTGCTGCTGCGGAGCAGACCAATACGCAACAGCTGATCGAACTACTCGCCGAACCGGAATCGGATCACTTTGACGCCACGCCCCTCATCCATCATGAGGAGGTGGTGCCGGATAGCTGCAGCAAGCTGAGCGCTCGACGAGAGTTCCTCAAGTATCTGCACGGCAAATATGTGCAGAATAACGTGAGTCGCTACGATCATGGTCAGCGTGTGCTGCGCAAGTACAAGCGTCGACTCCTGCTCCAGCAGAAGCAGAAGCAGCAGCAGCAGCAGCAGCAGCAGCGGCAGTCAACGCATGCCACACCCACGGCGCGTAGGCGTTAACCAAAGATGGCTGCAACAAAAGACTGTGAAGGCTTTCCATTTCCTGCTCAGTTGCTGGCGGGGGGGTGGTAAACGTTGTAGCTCTAGCGTGAAAAATCAACTTGACGTGCCTAATGGTTTAGAAATTTAAATTCAAATTATTCACACACATACACACACACACACATAGAGACAGATTTACACCTACACACATACATACACCTACTACACCCACACATTTGGTGAATCTCAAAAGACTTGTTTATATAAAATCAATTTTTTTGGCATTTGTTTAGTACATCCCGTAGTAGATATACTAAATCTAATCAATCTATATAGTTAATCTTCTTCTTCTTATTTTTTTTTTTTTTGTATATAGTTAAAGCATAGCAAAGGCTTCGTTTTTAATACACATATGGACATTTGCAAGTTTAAAACATTATTCAGTGTGACATAATATTAGAAAAAGAATTTTAATTGAGTTATATATTGATATATATAGATTGACTCGAGTACCTAAGGAAAACACAGTTTAGATTATTTGTATGCTGAAATAAGTGCAAATTACCAAAAAAATAGTTTTATTAAGTTAAAGTTCATTTTGAATTGAATTGAATACATAAATTTGTTATCTCTTTTAATATATGTTTATTTTATCCATTTATTTTATTGCTTAGATTATATGTTACTTTTCTACATAGTTTTTGAACATTAGAAAATATTTCTAAGCTTTTAACGAAACCTTAATTTCAGTCTATCCTAATAGATGCTCATAGAGTGAATATAGAGACAAGACCTTGTTGTAAACATAATAATAATAATATTAATATTGATGAATTCTTATTATTTCTTAAAGTAGATCTTTATTTAAAAAAAAAAAAAAAAAAAAGTATAATAACTTTTTCAAGCATCTCAAATTTCAATCCACTTTTTGAATAATATTTTTTAACTTTTATTGAATATTTTGAAATTTTAAAATATTTTTGTAAACTTTTCTGCAATATAAAGTCATACCGAATCTGAAAAAAAACCTGAAAATGTCCATATAAATTTAAATATATATATACATTTGAAAGCAGTTTTATATATGTATATGTATACATACATATATACATAGATGCATCTTTTTTGTAGCGAAACGTGCAATATTTTTTGTTAAATGTGCAATTAATGTGCTTTTAAGCTAATTTCTAAATAACAAACATATTTAAAAATTCGAATCTCGTGCTAAGTGGGGCCAGGCTGCGGCGAGGGGGCGTGTCTGGGTGCGTACACCTGGCGTATACGCGATTAGCCACATGCATCTGTGTATGCGTGTTGTTCCAGCTCGCGTGCAATTAACTTTACAAAAAAAAAAAATAAATAAAACAAAAATCGAGCACATATGTCATTTCAGCCATACATATATATTAATACTTATCTATATATACTTATAAATTAGTATGCTGCACTGTGAGTGCGAGTGCAATAGAGATAGCTAAGCAACATTTATATTTCAGTTGACTTTTTTTTTTTTAGCTTTTTTATTTTTATCAGTTAAGTGTATCAGCATTTTAGTCCGTGCGGAATAATTTAAAGCCGTCGCTCATCAGAGGTCAAACAGCAGATAGCGAAAGATATATAGTTACAGATATATACATATACATGCATACATGTATATAATATTAACAACTCTGTGGCATGTCTCTTGCGTGTTAGCTCAAACTGTTAACTTGGCTATGTGTATAATTATGGCCCAAGTAAAGCCCTTTTATGTCAAGTTGATGGCCATGCGGTTTTACAATACAAAAAATACAGCTAAGTGGACATAACACTCCCCCACACTGAAACGCCCAAAGCACCCTGTGCTCATGCTGATAAACAGATTTGTCTGTCTGACTTCTGCTACATTCATCTTTATCTCTCACCTTTCGCTTTCAGTAAAACTCTTCACAGAGTAATAAAGTTATGTATCTTTTACTTGCACTCTAGAGCATCTAGCAGTCGTTACTTGCCGTCTGTCAAACTCGTTTATTTTATTTTGTTTAAATAGTTTCGTTGTTAAGATTTTATCAACTGCCTTTGTTTAATGAAGGCCACCAAAAATGCAGCCTAGACCAAAAAAAATACGACTAAAAAAGGAATGAGAATAAGAGAATTATATATAAGATATATATACATTCATTTGTAGCGAGAAATACTGTTTAAGATTGTTAGAGAGAAGCTATTGTTTCAGTTAGTGCAAGACTTGTTTTTGTTTTCTAGTACAATTTACGTTAGGATTGGGAAATTGTTAAACATAGCAAAAATTAGAAAATATAAATATTTTTTTGTAGCTGTATAGACATTTTCATATACATATATATATATATAGTATAGTATGTCTGGAAGACTATTGCTGTAGCACTCTGAAATGGCCTTGTTTTTACACAACTTTGATGGATTATAATATAGTATATAGTATAGTAGATCTGGAACTGTAGATAAAATCCGCTATAGAAATTTGCTATGCAGTTGAAAATGGATTTGCTATGGCTTATATAAGACCTGGAATAGAAAACGTTGCACGTTTTAATTTTAAAAAAATAATAAGAAAACTAACAGATCTAATCATGTGAGACCAACCACCTATAGCTAAACTGAAACTACGTGCAACATCTTTTCTTGTAGTAAAACAGATTCCAAAGGACCAAAAAACAAAACAATTGATAGTTGTTATTTTTAATTGTAAACTACATACGAGTAAAGTAAAAGAAAAAGAAAGAGAAAAAAACTTTCGGGCACACATTGTTGTTGTTGTTTCGTTGTTTGTTTCCTTTCGCAATTCATCCTGTTTTTGTGCAATATCAAATCATATTTAGTTAAATATAATACGCTTAATATTAGTACAAAAAGCAAAAATAAAGAAATGCCCACTTAATGTAATATTTATTATATATTCGATTTATAACTTAATAATGTATATCATCTAGATGTCCTACACACACACACACCTTCTCTACTATATATGTATACATTTTAAAGTATAATTAAATATTTATAGCCCGTGTTGTACAAGGGGAGTTTTTTTTTAGTCCCTAAGCATTATACGATATGTCCAGATTGTGACTATATACATATATATATATATATATATATATATAATTATATATATAAATGTGAATGTGAGTGTCTTTGTGAGCATATATTCAAATGAAAATTCAATATTATATTATAGTTGGAGGAATCAACACTAGCAACAACAACAACTAAAATTGTATTGATTGAAATAAATGTTTTATGTACATGTTATTGCAATATAAAAAAAAAAAACAAATGTGTTTTCTTACTTACTATATTTATGATATATTACAGTGCAACTCAGTGAAGCTAGCCCTACTAAGAAGATATCTGAAGAAGTTTCTCAAATATCCCAATTGGGACATTCGATGATTACAGCCCATTTTAAAATTGAATTCACATGTTTTTATAATACAGCAATATAAATTGCGATTTTATTCGTTTGTTTTTGTTTGTAGAATTCAAAAATACAGCACAGTTCACAAATCTAGAATTTGCAGGCTAAAGTAAAAAACCAACTGGGTTTAGGTTGCTTCATTGTCCTTCGCACCAAGGACTCGCTTAGTATTTGCATGCGTTTCGTTTGCGCAATTCCGCACTCTCTCTTTCTCTCTCTCTCGCTCTCTTTGGTCCTACTCGTACTTGTCGAAGTAGCGCTTCTTCAGATCCGGCGGATACGTAACATATATGTAGTGCTCATTCTGTCCACCCACTTCGCTCTGCACGATCTCGTGCGTGGAGGAAGAGGCGCGTAGCGATTGCTGCGAGGCGCCAACATGACGATGCCGTGTGTCCAGCGGCCGCGGATGTGTGTTGTAGTGAACACCACCACCGATGCCAGCACCGGCCGCACCACCAGGGCCAGCGCCGCTCATATTGCTTACCACGCTCGTGGCGATTGGCCGGCCGGAGTTACTTGTATAGTCGCGTCGGTCTAAAATGTCCTGTGGGTAGGCCAGGCTCGTCGAGTGCCGATGCAGCGGCGTATTGGCGTTGGACGAGGACCCCACCACTTGCCGGCCGCCGGCCGACGAACTGGTGGGCGTACCCTGACCCACCGCCGGCGCCGCTGGACGCTGATCGGCGATGTAGTGACGCGGACTGTGTCGATGGTATTGAACCTGTTCGGGATACAAATCGCGAGCCTGCTGCTGCTGCTGCTGTTGCTGTTGCTGCTGCTGTTGCTGGTAGTATAACTGTTGTTGCTGCTGTTGCTGCTGCTGCTGATGATGTTGTTGCTGTTGATGCTGTTGATAGGGATCGGCAGTCCGACCAGGTATCCCGCCTGCGTCCAGCTGCAGCTCCTGCTGTGTGGCATAATCGTGATGGTAGTGGTGCGGCGCCGGCATGTAGATGCTGCCGCCGGCTCCGACGCCTGCATAATGGTTGGCATTGATTGTCGTTTCTTCGGAGCTGAAACAAATGACTTGGGTTTGCTCAATCTCACATTGACGGACAGTAGCAGTTGCTGCTGCGGCCACACAGCCACACTTACTCAAACAGTATCCAAATGATGTAGTAGCAGAAACAAATGCCCGTCGACAGCACGAATATCAGTATGACAATGAGACCCCAGGGAAAGGCACGTGGTTCCAGTGGGCCATCCTCCCAGTACCGATCACAGGTGAGGTACCAGCAGACCGCCTTGTTCATCTCCTCCTCCATCTCCTTGAACGCCTGATCGGACATGGCCAGCAGCAGGCCGCCAATGCAGCTGCGTAACAGCAGCTCGCAGCGTGCCTTCAGCTTGCTCAGCTCCTCCGGCTTGCAATTGGCCCGCACCTTGGCCTGTCCGTTAGCCCCGTCCACCGTTGTGCTGGGATCTGGCTGGCCGCTGCCCTCCGCATCGCCGCTGTGCTCAGCCTCGTCCGTTTCGTTTTGCTTGGTCTCGGCTGAGGTCGATGCCTCAGTTTCGGTGCGTTTCAGATGCGTCTGACTGAGCTCCTTCAGCTTCATCAGTAGCTTCTCGCCGGCCGACATGGGCTTGGCCGCTGAGCCATCGCCGGAATTGGTGGCATCGACCGATGACTGTTTCTTCGTGGGACTTGGCTTCTCTTGGAGTAATTGACGATTTTGTACTTTGGCTGCACGAGTGGCACTCAATGTGGAAGTTCTGCAAGGGATTGGTTAACAGGAGTCGGCAATTGTGCGGGAGAGAGAGAGAGAGGAGTCCTCTACTTGCCTTGGTATTAAGCTCAAGTATGCGGCATTCGCTTTGGCCAGGGCGGAGTTCTGACCCAGAGAGTCGCCCCAAACTTCGATATCGGTGACGATGTGCTGATCGCCAAACTTAAGGCTAGAAGCGTCCTCCGTTTGGAATACCTCACAGCGCATTATATCGCAAAAGTCAGCCAAGCAAACGGAGTCCTCTGCCTGCGAAAATGATCTCATCAAAATGCTTTCTTTTTTGCAATTGCACTTGGTCTTACCTCATTGATGATGTGCTTGTGCCGGGTATCGAAGTGCAAATCAAGATACTTCTCCTGGTAGAAACTTTTACCGCAAAGCCGGCAGGTCCACTGCGTGGGCCGATCCCGTT